GGTGTGGGTGCTTGTGAGAGGAGGGGACCCCGCGTCTGCTGCTGTCACAGTGAGGATGTGCTGAGCCGTGTCCTCCCGGTCCAGCGCCCTCACAGTCACCAGCTCGTAGTAATTCTTATAGGCTGGCCGCAGGGAGAAGAAGAGCTGATGGTCGAGGGCACAGGACACCTTGCCGTTGGCACCGGCATCTCGGTCCCTGACAGTAAAGAGGGCAACCACCGTGCCAGGCGCGGAGTTCTCGGGGAGGGGACTGCTGAAGGAACTGACCAGCAGCTCGGGTGCATTGTCATTCACATCCAACACCTCCACTAATACTTTGCAGATTGCCGAGAGCCCCCCACCATCTGTGGCCCTTACACTGAGCTCATGAGTCTGTGCTACCTCAAAGTCCAGAGGCTTTCTGAGTTTAATTTCACCACTCTTGGGATCAATCTCAAATACTGACTCGCTGTCAATGACTCCTTCACTGAACTGATAGGAGATGTCCCCATTAGGTCCTGCATCCAGATCTGCCGCCAACACACTCAAAACCACAGAACCCTCCGGTGTGTTTTCCAGAACCTGCCCAGTGTAACGATCCTGTGTGAAGACGGGAGCGTTGTCATTTGCATCCAGAACTGTAATGTGAATTTGGGTGGTCCCACTCCTGGGTGGAGAGCCCCCATCCACAGCAATCACACTGAAATCCATCTCTGCCTGCTCCTCTCTGTCTAGGGTTTTTTCCAAAACAAGTTCAACGTATTTGTCCCCATTACTCCTACTGCCAAAGGACACACTAAAATAGTCTTTCTCGGGCGCGATGCTGTATGCCTGGACACTGTTGCTGCCAATATCAGGATCTCGAGCAGCTTCCAGTGGGAAACGAGAGCCCAGGTCGCTCGTTTCGGGGATTGTAAAAGTGACCCGTTGATGGGGAAATCTGGGTGAATGGTCATTGATATCCTCGAGGGTGACCTCGACCCGAAAGAACTGCAGCGGGTCGGCCAGCAGCAGCTCGAAGGGGAGCGTGCAGGTGTCGGCCTGGCCGCACAGCTGCTCCCGGTCCAGCCTGTCGGCCACGACGAGG